TAAATGTCTGACAATCGGACGAGCCGGGAGTTGCCTCAGCCAATTTTGAAATATCCACGCATTTACCTCCGTTTTGCTAAAGTTAAGAATACTGAATATAGTTCTTCTTTTGTGTTACATGTTCAGCTGTCATTCATTAGAGCGATTCTCAAGATCTGTTAATGATTTTTGGAACATCAAAGAATTCTGATTTGAACGTACTTTTTTACACTTTATGTTTTAGATTTGATAAGATTAAATATGTATATGAACTTCAATTAATAAATTTACCTTGGTTTTTTTTGTGAATACCCTGGCTCTTTTTCGGTGAGGTGAGGAAGAATCTTTTTCTATAACAGATTTCAAAAACATAAATGTCGTGTCATAAATAGGTTTAAGAATTCACGTTATAAAAACATAGAATACTAGTATTTTATAATTAATGATAGGTTTGAAGCCGGAACCTTTTGATCACTAGTTTTTAAATGTTAATCTGTGCATTTGTTTTTAAACTCATTACACACTAACTTAACAGATGGTATTTTAATACTATTACTATTTACAAGTTAAAATTTAAAAAAATTGGCAAGATACAACAGTACGCAACGAGCACGAGCATTTGTTCTTTGCCTGGGAGTAATTTATCTATAATTTGTATGTATTTAGAAATACATATATAAGTATGTTTATCAGCAGTTTATCCGCGTGGTGACGGATTAAGAATACAGAGTGTCACCACCCCTATTCATCCCGTGGGTGTCGTAAGAGCCGACTAAGGGAAAAAACTACGCAGAACAAGAGCACTGCCGAGAGAAGGAAACTTGATACAAACCCTATACCAACGCGTCTGGCCAGCGTGGTATAGTAGTAGTAGCTTATGTCGAGCAGTGGACTGTTAAAGGCTGTTGATGTGATCAGCAGTCTGGTAACCATGGTACAGATTCTGTCCAGTTTGGGAACAGATGGCCGTGTGTGAGATGTGTGAAGTTATTATTAGTTAAAATCGTATTTACAATCTACTAACTCTCGAGGAAAGGCGTATTCTGATGGATATGGGGTTACTCTATGACATTTTGCGAGGACGGATCGATTGTCCTATACTTTTAAATAATATTAAGTTTAATGTACCCAAGAAACGCACTAGACACACTACACTATTTTGCACTTCATTTCACTCGACTAATTACGGTAGAAATGGTGTAATATCACGTTTACTCGACTCTTATAATGAACACTTTAATAGTGTGGACATATTCATCAGTTCTAAGGATAATTTCAAAAACCGAGTTTCGCTTAAATTACTATCATCATAGGCTTTCTAAAATGTCAACATCATTGCACTGAATGGCTGGTTTTATAGGTTTCTAGATGAAATAAATCTTTTAATGTATTTTTTCAATTAAATTTTTCTCCCATATTTATATATTAGTATGTGTTATTTATTTCAGTTATTTATTATATTTCATATTTTACATCTATTCACCCATCTTTTCAAGGTTTACCAATCAGTTTTAATATTATGTGTTGTTAGCATATTCATCCACTCTATGTATCTACCGTGGATAACTTTTATTGGCTACTCATGTAATCATAGTTTACTACCTAGTTAAGAATTGCAGCTGTTGTTATCCCTAAAAAAATAAAAAATAAAAAAATAAAAATTACAAAATGCATATTCTCATAGTCTCTTGATAAGCGTGGCAGAGTCATGCTTTGCCACAAATGGGTTGTTTCGACTGGAGTCATATCACGGCCTCACAGAAAACCGCTGTTAAGTAATTCTTTTGTTGTTTTTCACCGAATGAGTAAGGCTACCGGAGCCCAAACCTCTCCCTCCCTGGGGAGGATTCGAAGGACGGCAACGGTAGACGTCCAAGGGCTGCAGTAATTACTTACAATTGGGCAACCCATCTGCTCCTTTGCCCTCCTAAAATATAAAAAAAAATTGCTGGCAATGATGGTAATTTCCCAATATTTTCGGGTAATCTCAATTCTCGTCACACCGCAAGTGTATGCACGCCGCGTAAAACTTTTTTCCTAACCCACCACCAATTGGATAAAACACATACCTAATCGATTTCGTTCACGCAAATTTAACACGTGAATCAAATTGATCATAAAGCGTTAATTGAATGGAAGTTATACTTCTGGCTGTCACTCTTGTCAATACTGGCCTGTTGGTCTAGTGGTTAGTGACCCTGACTGCTATTCAATTTCCACCCAGGATAAGTAATTGAGTGATGAGCACGGTCATTTGTTCTGTCTGGGTGTAACTTATCTATAATATGCATGTATTCTGAACTATATATATACATATCTGTTTATCAGCAGTCTGGTTACCATAGCACAGGCTCTGCCTAGTTTGGGATCAGACGTCCGTGTGTAAGATGTGTGAAAATATTATTAAATACATTTCTAAAAAACTTAAACAAAAATACATTCATACGTCTCTATCTCCAAAAGGGTAGACAAGAGCGGCCTCATTTTGTCGATTCTAATTTTAGTCTCACTTCCGTTATAGGGGGCAAGAATATTGACGTGAGCCGTGAGATATTTCTAGTCTGGCGACATCCACGTACGGTGAAACGAAGAAACATACTACAGCGCCACCTTACGAACACATACTGAACTACGGAATAACTGCCAATCCTGTATCCCGATTTTATGGACTGTAGAGTTAAGGAGCATGATCTTGTAAATCGAAAGCAGAAAGAGTGTCACCCAAAAAGCAATAAATGATAGTTCAAAAAACGACCAGAATGGCGCTTAATTTAATATTTACCCTGATCCTACTGTAGCGCCCACAATTTTACGTATTTTGACGGAATCTTTTCATATACAAAGACGGTTTTCCTTACCTCTAAACTCCATATGCGATAAGAACAATTCTCTCGCTGATTAGCATTTATACAATTTCCCAACATCATCGTCTGGCCACAGCCCGCCAGTCATGATCGTTTCGCCGCTCTGATCCTTTGTTTATGTTGAAGGGACATGACACCCGTTCCTCCACACTAGATAAAACCTCCTTTTTAAAGAGAGGCCTATGTCCAGCAATAGCACTCTACTCTAGACGGGTTGCTTAATGTAAAGTGACTACCGCCGCCCATGAATGCCTGCAGCTCAGGAGTCACAAATGCGTTTCCGGCTTTGCGGTGGGAGTACGCTTTTTTCTTGAAGGTCGTATGGTTCTTTCCATACCGTAGATGATAATTTGTTCCACGAATCGGTGCGGAGCAAAAACAGTCACTATTTATATTTATTTCATATATGTAAATTTCGAGGAGCTAATACTGTGTACTACGAAAATAAAAGAGATTAGGTTAAGTATCTGAAGACACGCCGAACCACGAAGTAACTCCTGAATGAGAATAGCAAATCCTGTATCGCGACATGAAGAATTCTCTCGCCGATTAGCATATATACAACTACCCAACATCAACCGTTGGGCCTCGGCCCGCCAGGCATAATCACTTCGCCTAGTCTGAGGGTGTCATGTCCCCCCTCCAACACAAAGGGATTTGTGTTGGAGGGGGGGCATGACACCCGTTCCTCCACATATCTCAATCTATAAAAGTGTGGTTTGAAATCCATCAGTGACATAAAGATACATAACAAAGCGCTTTAATTAATATTTTATTTTTATTACTCATATATCCAGTATATAATATTTACAACTTTCGTTTCTGTTACTTAATATGTGTACTTAAATACGATTTCGAAGGAAATATGTTAGGGTTAATGAGGGTTTTCTATACTTTTTCTGCCACCAGACGGCGCTTCGTTTGCGTCAGTTCCAAACAGCTGTCATATAGCACAGATTCTTAGTAAACGTATAACTTTTAGTGAAATTCTATTGGATTTCAGATTTCTCAGATTTCGAAGTGTTATTGAGTTTATTATGGATTACGACCAGAGAAAGGTTGCCGAACTGAAGATTGAGCTCAAAAAGAGAGGCGCATAATTTTTATTTGCACACGGAGGTACTGCACAACACTGTGGCATTTTAGAAAACAATATTTCTTATGTAACGTTTTTAAGAATGAATAAACCAAAAAAATGATCGAAAAATACAAATCATGTATGTGTTTTGACAGGTGGTTGGACCTGACGCTACAGTGCCGCCATCTCACGTGGAACATTTCAGAAAACCCTCATTGCGTAAAATTATTAATTAGTCAGTACCTAATGCATGAATTTTAATAAAATAAAACTCTCTCGTTTCTGTGTCTATAATAGCCAAATACTCGGTTAGTTCCTTTATCCTATAAGAACTCTATGATATCCTATAACCTGCTTCTATAACAATCAAAATTACGATAATTTACTTTAGTTTACCTTACTATGATAATCAAAACTTAGAAAGTGCTAAAAAGGCTGTGCTTCAAACTTGACAACACATTTGAGAGCCTTCTCTTGTCATGACAATGAGTATTACCCCTATAATAAATTAGGACCTTTTTAAATTAGAATTTCAATTTACCACATTTAAATTTTATATCGTAATTTATATATTATATTCAAATCTTATTTCACATGAAACATCAACTAACCGAAACTGTTTTTCAACAGTATTCAAGTACATTTGAATTAATTGTAGGTAACACCGGTAACCCAGTTGTCAATGACAATGTTGTTGTCATTAGATTAGATAAAGTGGGCAAGTAGGACAAATCTGAAAGTAAAATGATCGTAGATCCCGTTAAAATTTGTATTCGTTTCTTTGGAGTGCTTAGAATCACAACTCGTGTATTAAACTACGATTTAAAACTCGCTACACGATGGACGACTTAGAAATAAATGTGATAGACTTCATATTTATAAATCTTGCTTTAGCGGTAACATTTACCGGTGTTATTATTAATAACTACGAGAAATATGTCCCAGCATTTATTATTAAGAGCTATAGGTACGGAAGCTTCGCCTACCAAGGTACAGACGCGAACTATCTTCAAGTAATTGAAATACCAAAGGCATACTATCGGCATTTTTATTTATTTTCCTCATTATTCAGCGCCGCTATGTTGTTCTACATGGTTCTAGTATATTTCTTTGGTGTTACTGTTACTTATCCTGTCTATTTCGTGTTGAAAGTGTTGCTGCAGGAAAATGAACCTTCTGGTAAGTTGTCACAGTCTTTAAAATTATTTGATACTTTTAAACTTAGATCTGGGATTTAAGTAATTATTAACTGACTAGCTTAAACTAGATTACAAATACCTTTTACTTGTAACATGAATGTTAGTAACATTAAATATGAACTTGATTATATATGCAGTTATTAAACTAAAGTATATATTTCTCATTATCTTTATTCTTAGCATTTTCATCCTTATAATATACCAGCTTTTGCCCGCGGATCCGCCCGCGTGTATGTTGGTTGTCGCGGTAGAAAGTAGCCTTTGTCCTTCGGCATAACTCAACCTATCTCCATACCGTCTAAATCGGTTCAGCAATTATTGATTCCCCATACAAAGTCCCACCCCCTCTTTTCACCCCCTAAAAGGATGATTTCTCGAATAAAAAACTATCATATGTACCATCCATACCAAATTTCATCTAAATAGGTTCAGCTGTTTAAGTGTGAAGAGAACAGACAGACAGACACACTTTTGCATTTATAATATTATTGTGGATAATATGTAATTAAGTCACAAAGTTTCTGGCCTAAACTAAAAAATGTAATGTAAATAGTAAACCTACCTTTATTTATTTTTAATAGTATTTCCATTTACGTCAATACACATTTCAACATGCTTAAATAATCTTCTAGGTTAAGGTCATTAGTATTATTTCTTTTTATTGCAAGTTCAAATTCAAGTTCAAAATAATTGTTATTGATTGTATCAATAATAATAATGCGTGTTAATAATAATTCACAATAAATTTTGAAAGCGGCTGCCTTACGATCAGCCGAGAGCTAAACATAATTAGGCACTGGCGCCTAATTATGTTTTTGACAGCTCGTTATAATATTTCATGACATCTATATGTATTTCGATTTCATCAACCTATCCTTGACTTAATATAATAGTTTTACTTACGCACAGCCTTGTTTATGAAACTTGGCTATAGTAGCAGTGTAGTTAAACAATAGAAAACATTACAACACATGTTTTGTATGTAAAGCTTGTTCTCGTATACATTTATATTCAGTTGATGCTGGTATAGTTTACAAGACACCGTTGAGACTGGTGAACAGCCAAACAGTAAAAACTGATGTTACAAATAACAATCTTTGCCTTTTGAGTCTGGCCTATCAGTCTAGTAGTCAGCATTCCAACTGCTAAACCAGAGGTTATAACCACTCATCACAGATGAGTTTGATCATTTGTTGTCTGGGTGTGATTTCTTTTTTTTCTAGGTGTATGTTTTCCGCTGAGTCTTCCCCAAACTAGGTTTTTTTTTATGTTAGAGTGGGCAGACGAGCAGACGGGTCACCTGATGGAAAGTGACCATCGCCGCCCATGAACATCTGCAACTCAGGAGTCACAAACGCTTTGCAGACCTTTTACTAAGGAGTACGCTCTTTTCATTAAGGTTAGAAGGTCGTGTCGGTCCGGAAATACCGCAGACGATAAATCGTTCCACAGATCCTAGTCAAAAAGTGTCTCGAAAAACGCACGGTAGTGGAGCGCTAACTATCCAGGTTATGTGGATGAAAATTTTGCCATGTGGAAAGTTGCGGCCCGGTATTAGTCCGAACACATGATACATGCGATACAGAATGCAGACTGAAGCCACATCTATACGTAACGCCAAGGGATCGAGCCGATCGGAGATGTTTGGGCTATCGACGGAGAAGCTGGTACTGAGTTGCCCCTGAACATAGATGAGAACAATATTCCATATACGGCCGGACTTGCGCCTTATAGAGCTGAAGGCGGTGGCCGGAGTGAAATACTGTCTCGATCTCTTCAGCACACCGAGCTTCTTCGAAGCCAATTTGACCTTAGCCTCTAAGTCACCCCGAAGCTGGACTTCGCTCGATATGTCGATGCCTAGGATTCCGATACTGGCTGAGGCAGTTAGGGAGGTACTCTCAAACCGAGGTGATACGACAAATGGTATCTTCTTTGCGGTGAATGCAATCCGAAAGCTCCGCTAAGGAAGTTTTAATTTCAGACACGAGTTTGTTTCGACTCTCGATGATGGTTTCCCGAGAAATCTTGGGGCGGCCGGTGTAAGGGCATCTCCCGTACTATCATCTCCATAGCAATGGATGCTACTAGTTTGCAACGTGTCATTGATATGCAGAAGAAACAGTGTAGGTGATAGGTTGGGGTTGACTTTAAGTCTACTATGATACGGCTGAACTTCGATTGTTTACCCAGAAGACTGCCATCAGACCTCCACAACCCAAGTCCTAGGCTATATCGAAGTTCTGTAAAGACTGTCATTGGACTTTTTAGGGATCCAACTCCCCGTAACGATTGCCACAAATGTTCGTATAGCAACCGGGACCGACGGCTTTAAGTGCTCTAAGGCACGAAGAATTCTCAATTTGCTAACAATGGTCACCCATCCATGGATTGACCTGTTTAGGATTGTTTAACTTTGCAATGTGTCAACCTACTCTGGGAACCAACCTACTTAGGAAAAATATATAAGTATGTCTATCAGCAGTCTAGCCACCATAGTACAAACTGCTTAGTTTGCGATCCGACGGCCATTTGTAAGATACTTCAAGTTAATATTATTAGTTTAGAAATCTGCTATACACAGTTCTTTAAAACATACCTAAAGATATGGCCTAAGTCTCTTATTCCATCCAAAACTTGCAATATAATTTATACTTGCAAAACCTTTATCTGCAATTTAGCGTCTTTAAAGTTACCTAAATTCAGAATAGATTTTCAAGGTTGCTGTTGGCAAGCGACCGGCCTAAAACCTTTTGCAATGTTTTATATTGCACAAACCTCAAATAAATTTAGAATTAAGATGATAGGTTTACTGTACACACATTATATGCATTCAATACAAAGTATTTTTTTTATTACAGTGACAGTTAGTGCAGCCCTGATAGCAATGACATTGCTAACAATACAATGTCTAAGAAGATTATACGAGACGTATTACTTGCAAGTATTTGCCAAATCCAGCAAAATGAACCTTAGCCATTATCTGGCTGGGATTATTCACTACTTTGCTTGCATCGTCACTGTTGTTGGACAAGCGCCCTTATTCTGTGGTAAGTAGAATTCATATTGCCTTGTTGTAAATAATATAATAACGTCAACGTTGAATGTTTAGTACAAGAATCCTTTAATGATATTTGTGAGATCGAGAGTAGATCGGAACGAGAATTGTCCTTCTGGCAAGGAACGCATACATCGCATCTGGTCTGGTCTGGTCCACCATATAATAAATGGAATACGATGGCCTGCGACACAAAAGAAATTTTATATTATTCTTCTTTTTTATGATATTTTTTTCTATATCTTGTTTTCTCTGCAGTCTCTTTCGTTTCTGTTAGCCCTTAAGAGGTAACCAGAGTCCACCCCCCTCCCCTAACAAACTCACCTCCTAACTCTGGGCGAGGGGGGACTGAAAGGGCGGCAACGAACTTGTGACTCAAGAGTTGCACGTGCCCATGGGCGGCGGTAGTCACTTACCATCACTTGACCTGTCTGCTCCTTTGCCCCTATGCCATAAAAATTTGGTATAGTTGTTTCTCAATTCAATCACCGTATCAGTATAGTCTAGTTGTTTTAACACATGTGTGGTAAAGGAATACGGACAGAAAAGTCAATTCGATTAAAATAAACTACAGAGTGGTCTATGCTAGCCCTTGCAATAGGGATATAAATGAATTTATATGACACCCGTGACCTTACACTGTCATCAGTTACAGCTGTCATTAATGACAGTAATTTTTTTAATTGATTATTAACTGTATTACTGTCGTTTGAAAATTCTTAATGTTAAAAGGCCTACGCAATAAAAATGTTTCAGTACAAAACGTAAAACCTCGAATAGTATTTTATATTTCACTAAGATGTAAAACCTATACCCTATACCAACCCGTCTAGCCAGCATGGTATAGTAGGGCAAAACTTCCTTTCTAAGGAGAGACCTATGTCCAGCAGTGGACTATTAAAGGCTGTTGATGATGATGATGTCTAAAGAAATAGATATGTTACCAATTATATACGTTCTCCTACAAAAATCACTCTTTTTTACAGGACTCCAATTCAGGGAAGTTATGCCATGGAACAATACATACACTACAATCATAGCAGTACCATGCACTGTCATATTCCTCGTCACCTGGTATGAACAATTCAGGAGCAACATTATATTTGCCAACTTACGCAAAGACAAGAAATCTGGCAAAGTGGTGACAGAGGAGCACAGAATTCCCCATGGAAGAATGTTTGAGTACGTGTCGAGCCCACACAGAATGTGTGAGATTATTTTGTACACAATTTTGTTGCTATTGGTCCCGACAAGAACCTTCTTCTGTATTTACCTTTGGGTGTTGGGTAATCAGGTACGTATAATTACGTATAATTTGTTTAATTCTTTGGTAATTCGTGATGGTTGGCTGGGAAAGTCATTGTGTTAGCTACGTACAAAATTAAGTAATATTAATATTGGTCAAGTACATATGATAGTTATTAGTGTATTATTACTGTTTTACGACCTATTATTGAGGGTAATAATTAGTTTCCCGACAGTTAGTATAAATTATAATTTAATACAAAATATTAAATAAGATGACGCCCAAAATGGTCTTTACTATAGTAACTAGAGTGCAAATACTATACATAGGTAGGTATTGTAGTTTAGGTTAACGATTCTTCGCGTTAACAAAGATATTTAGAGGGGTATTCCTTATTTTAGAATGATTTGATAATTTTTATTAGTCTGATTGCAAAATTGAACGTAAAAAGTTGTACCTACACTTGAGGGAAATTGCGCCAAAACGAAAAATATTTTCTATACTTTATTCGAAACTTAAGTACTATTTTCAAATAGAAATGAAGTTGATGAGAAAGCGAGTTAATTCTGTCATCCTCTGAAACACTCTACCTCAAAAAACAGAGTAGCACCCTGTCTACTTCTGTTTAAGGCGAAGATAACTCTCCTGCCTCACATAATTATTATCATTATCAACAGCCTTTAATAGTCCACTGCTAGACATGGGCCTCTTTTTAGATTAGAGCTAAATTCTGCTTGAATCATTAGGTCTGGTCTAGTCTGGTCAAAGGTCTGTCAGGATGTCATCATGTCAATAGTGTCGGTCAGTCGATACTCGATTACTTAATCAAGTCGCGTAGACGGCCCGAACATTACCTTAATCAAGTTTATGTACCTTACAGACATGTTAATACATGTGCGCATAACTTACGCTTTTTTTATATTTCAGATCCAAACAGCTATACAGGCCCACGAGTGGTACAAAAAGACTTTTGATAACTACCCTACGAACAGATACGCGGTGTTCCCACGTGTTTTATAAAACATTAATTTAAGAAAAATACTGAACATTGAACATTTTATACACTATTTATTTATAGATAAATTATTTAGTATACAAGTAAGAAACTTGTATGTTTCTGATGCGGGTGAACCTACAAAATGAAATGACACATCTAAAATGTTAAAAAAAAATGTATTTATTAAATATATTTAAGTAACTGTTAGTGTTTTACGTTATTTGAATTTTTAATTAGAATATTGTGGCATTCAGTGAAAAATGGAATTACAAAAATCCTGTTCGAGGATGACGAGACGTTTGTGATGGAACGGGATTCAATTTAGAGGGTCATGGTTAATAGCTATCTTGCTAAATAAAAACAGTATCTGAAACATGGACAGTTACTTACTATTGCGTCAAAAAAAAGTGTTTTTTTTTTCTTTTCAAGACAACTCCCGCACTAGGAATATATCCTGTGTTGCGGAGGATATTACAAACATACATGAAACAGACACAAAGAACACCCAGACTCAGAACAACAATTTGTGGATCACACAAAGTGTCGTCCCATGTGGGGATCGGACCCACAACACTCAGCGTGTAGTGAGCGGCGTGGCGACCGCTTAAACCACTCGGTGCAAATAAGCCGGCCCGACTGTAGTGATACACACAGCTTCATAGAAAACCACTGTTTACTGCTCAATTCTTTTGTTGCTTGGCAGTGAGGAGGTTGCCGTGGTAACCCCTTCCCCCACCGCTTCCTAATTCTTGAGGATGATGTGATTTTGAGTTGCAACGGCCAATGGACGGCGGTAATCGCTTACCCGTCTCCTCGTTTAACCATATTCCATAAAAAAAAACAGTCGCAGACCAATATAATGTACGAATAACTAAATCGTAATACCGTTCTAAATAAAAATGATACTTGTATAAAAAGAAACAGATTTAAAAACCAAACAAGTTTCCGTTATACAAACAAGTTTATTGACCAACTGAGAAACGATTGTAAACACAAACAATTGCACGCACACTTATTATATTCCAACTCCACTAGTCGGCCGCAACTTATTGCGATCCAATTACTCCTCACTTGAACAGGAAGCTGTAGAAAGAAAAAAAATGGTTAGTTAATTCCCAATGTGTTGAAAACATTAATTTTACTTTTTCCCATTTTCGAACATCTGACATACAACGCCATCTAGTTTCAAACCAAGCAGAGCTTGTACTTTGATAGCTGGATGCGTTTCTTCTTTAAATTGCCTTTTTAAATTCAATTACATATTTAAGTAGCTGTGGGTAGTTTGATATTTCAGGGAAGCGAGTTTATTCTAGTAGTCTCGACGGCGATCGCGTTCGGGGTTGCAATTGGTAAAGATTACGCGGTTTGTGAAAAAGGGTCTACAGACTAAAAAATCTTAAGAACTATTTTTTTTTTAAATATTCTACCACATCCACACAATGCAATCTAGTCCCTAACAAAGCAGAGCTTGTACTATGGGTACTAGACAACTAATAAATACATTACTTTTTTTGTAAATACATATTATACATAGAAAAACCCAGACCAAATCAAACATTAAATGTTCATGCACACAAATGTTCGACTTGACCGAGAATCGAACCCTTTGGAATAGCAGTCCGTTACACAAACCACTACGCCATCCGGTCGTAATTTTAATCAAAGTTATTTATACCTGTAAGGATATCCTTGAGTCTTCGCCCTGAAGACGGACAGAAGCAACGAGAAGAACACACAGACAAGCACGAGCCCCACGACCGACTGGAACCGACGGCGTTTGCCTTCAGACGGGGCGCGCACCACGTCCGACTTGATGCCACCCGCCGCTTCGATCATCAAGATCATACCCACTACTACTGCTCCGTCTGATCGTTGTGGTTAAGGGAAATTAATATGCATATATATATACCATCCAATGCGCTGGACAGACCAAATCAAAACCGCTCTAAATGGTCCACTCCACGAATGCACGAGGCAAGCAACGGTACGAGAGGAATGGCGACAAATTGTGAAGCTTGCCACCGCCCCGGTCATGACGACCACGACCACTCTGACAAGAGTTTGACGACGGAGATGAAGATATATCTACAGGTTGTTACAGAAATATATGATTTTATTTATATGAGTTGTTCCGTAATTTTGTGTTGTGCGCTAACAATTTAAGGAAAATTTTTGACGTCAATTATGGATATAATTTTTTAAACTCACAAATCACTTGAAATCCAATAAAGCTAAGCTGAGCTTTTGTAAGAATAATATGAATGAAACTACAGGTATTAAAAATCATGTCACCAGAAGGCCAATTCTCGTAATAAAAGTTCGGTCTCAATTCAGTTCCGATCAACTTTCGATCTCACAACTGTCATAGGTAAGGTATTTTCGTATTAAAATAGTCATCAACAGCCTATAACAGTCCACTGCTGGACATAGGCCTCTCCTTAGAAAGGAGGTTTTGGCCTACTATACCACGCTGGCCAGACGGATTGATATAGGGTTTGTTTCAAGTTTTCCTTCTCTTTGCAGTGTTGTTGTCCTGTTTAGTATGCTCCCTTAGTCGGCTCTTAGGACACCCACGGGATGAATAGGGGTGGTGACATTCCGTATTCTTAATCCGTCACCACACGGACTATTAAAATAGTAAAGTATTACTAAGACTAGCAGATTACCAATTAAATTTTAGGTTACAATACGAGATAATCACATTACAGTCAACTTTGGATGTTAAATAGTTTTCTACGAAAATACCTTTTTATAACAGTTGTGAGATCGAAAGTTGATCGGAACTAAATTGAGACCGAACTTTTATTACAAGAATTGGCCTTGGTGGAAATGTCTAGATTATTCAGTAAGTGCAGGCAGGCATTAATACAAAAATACATAAAAGTATATGTTCTAAAATGTGCAATAACTAGGGAAATGGATTTTTCGGTGTACTTTTTTTTACGTCAAAGTACATTATGTACGTTTGACATGCATCATTTTAAGATATAATTGATCGGTATTTAATATGGTGCAGAGCCACCACAGAGCTTGACACATTTTGCAAGGAAACGGACAACTAATTGGTGCCTAATTTTTTTTTTCGGCATTCACACAACGCCATCTAGTCCCAAATTAAGCAGAGCTTGTACTATGGGTACTAGACAACTGATATAAATACAAATACTTTTTTTTTGTAATTTAATTGTAATATACTTATTATACATAGAAACACCATTAAAGACCAAATCAAACATTAAATGTTCATGCACACAAATATTTGACTTGAGCGGGAATCGAACCCGCGACCTTTGGAATAGCAGTCCGTTACACAAACCACTACGCCATTCTGTCGTCAATTGGTTAACAATATTTTATTTCTGTAGTGACCATATTATTGTCAGACATTACTGCTTAAATAAATATAATCAAGCCCAAAATCGATCTAGGTGGCGTGCAATGGGAGAGGCCTTTGTCCAGCAGTGGACTGCGATAGGCTGATGATGATGATGATGACGTGGCTATCTCAGAGAGCGAACTTAGAACATTATGGAGCCGATATTTATTCACTTTTTAAGCAATGATTATAGATTAGATTAGAACACTTTAAAACATCTAAGACGAGTTACCAAGAATCGAACTCGAAGCATCCTTTCATCTTACGGTATTAGTTTAAAAAAAAACAAAGTATTGTACAAAATATCGTCCAACAAATAACATTAATATAACTGCACACTATCCTTAAATTAATGCAGATAAAACTGAATGTAAGCCCTAAACCATTTTGCAAAATTATTTTTAAAAAGGATACTCAAAATAGCTACGATATAGCTCTCTAACACAAATTGCCCGTGGGAACCACCGTTTATATACACCGGTCCATTCTTAGTCCTATGGAAGAACGGGGGTCCTCTAATCTGGTTCCACATTTGGCCAGACACCATTGCAAAGCAGAAGAACACTGCGCCAACAGCCCACATTTGCTTGTTGTAGAGGAATTCCAGGTTGTTCCTTCGCAGGTACAGGAAACCAGCGACCAGGATGAACAGCATCGAGAATGCTACCGCACCAGAGTAGTTTGGTGGTCGGAATATTCTGATCTGTAAATGATAATTGAGTGGGTGAAATAGTTTTTATCATCAACATCTTTTGGGAGGGCTATGCTTCGACACAAATGGGCAGGCTTGACCGGAGTTATACCATAGCCTCACAGAAAACCAGTGTACTCCAACGACACCTAAGACTCAAGAATCGCAAGTGCATTGCTACTTTCCAAGCAGTGTGCGTTACGATTGCTCAGCCACGTTTTCAAAATATTAAATAAACTTTGCCAAAAATTTGTCAAAATCGAAGGAACCGAACCAAAAATTTGTCAAAGTAGAAATAAAGAAGTTATAAGGGTTTAAAGTTGGCCGCGCGAACGAAACGTGGAGGGTTGCGCGGCCACTCAGATCTCAGCAACTACTTAAGTTAGAGATCTAATTCTTTTTTGTCAATCTATACAAATAAATAAAATTGGAGTGTCTGTTTGTAATATTAAAATAACCGCTTTTTACTAAATGCATATGTATGTTTACACGGTACATATGCCAAAATATCATTTTTTACAATTTTTGTCTATGTGTCTGTTTGTTCCGGGTAAACTCTGGAACGGCTGGACCGATTTCGACGGGACTTTCACTGGCTGATAGCTGATGACAGAAGGAGTAACTTAGGCTACTTTTTTAGACTAGCTTCGCCCCGCGGCGTTGCCCGCGGTTATAACAACAAACGCGGGTAACACCGCGGGTCTCAGCTAGTTTTAACTAAAGTTTTATCCTTGGGAATAGTGATAGATAGGTACCTACAGTAAAAAACATACCTATACCAATGGTTTTATAATTTGGCATTTTATAATAACAATTAGACAGAATTAAAATTTTTGACTACAGGAAATATTGACAGTCAAGTTTGGGTCCATAAACGTAAAATAGTGCATATATTACAGTTTTTTGCCATGCTTCCGAGAAAATGGTCCGACTCGACTGATATAACGGCCTCACAGAACACCGGTTAATTTTTTTGAAAATAAGATTAGGTAGGTAGAGGGGAAAGCAGCAGACAGTGTGGAGGTGGACACAAAATTTCATAAAAATCGGTCCAGCCGTTTCGGCGGAGTATGGTAACTAACATTGTGATATGAGAATTTTATATATAAGATATACAGACATACTAATTAAAGTAGTAGTAACTTGTAAACGTAGTTGAAAACTGCATTATATAGCCTTTTTATTCAGGAATCTATTCCAATCTATTTAATAGGCTGAGTGTACTTTGAGCCAATTTAAAGTATATTTTACCAATTTATTCAAATTATATCTAGAAATTCTAATTTCTTACCTGATTATCAGTTCTATCCTGAATCCACTTAGCAATAGCTTCTGCATGGATTCCAGTTCGCTCAAAGTCCATTGTATCAGCTGGTTTGGGCTTGCCTTTGGCTGGGAAATGCATTATTATAGGGGCTGTGTTCAGGCGCAGCTGGAAATAGTTTGAAAAATTTTAGTTAGTCGGCTCTTATGACACCCACATGATGTATAGGGGTAGTGTCTCTCCGTAACCTTAATCATGGACAGTTTATCATCAATTGTATCATTATGTGTATTGTAAATAGTAATTTTATTTCTTTGAAAAGCAAATGTAAATAAGTCTTCAAGTCAGCCATGAGTAGCCTATTAATTTTAATAGTTTAGAGTTTGAAAAAATATAATTAAGCAAAAATCATTACAATTATTAAGAAACAAACAAACTTACCATTTGGAAGATATCAGATCCCTCGTCAAAGTCAACGATACCAAAGAATAACTTATTATTATAAGCTGGAGAGAATCTAAACGAATTAGCTACAATTAAATATTCATCATACACATGTTGACAAATTGCACAGCGTCGGGACGGTGCCATGGCTGTGAACATTATGACGAAGGAATAGTCTTTTGGTGGTGACTTAACATATTCTTTAAATTTACTTAGATTTAATGATATAATGGACTTTTTGGTGGTGAGGTCTGTGAGCTGCTGAACTTTCTCTTCCAGCTGTAACATTAAAGAATGCATTTTAATACAACTAGTACAAATAGCAACATTCATAAAAAAGTTGATTCATTTTTCTAATATTTAAACTAAAGAGTTGCATGTTATTTTATTGTACTTAGAAATTAGACGCATTTACATTGGATTTTGGGCGGCAGTTAACCATCAGGTGCCCTGTCTGCTTGTTTGCCCCCTTATACCATAAAAACAAAAAATGAAACAGGAAAAACTGTATTTGAGGAATTTAATAGGTTGCCTGCTGCTTTTTACACTATAAAACAGACTGAAACAGAATGAGAAACTTAGTAGTTAGATACGAATCTGGTGAGTAACAAATTTATTTGTACACTGTTTTATGTGATACGGTACCCATAATGTAATTAGAAAATATTAAGTCAAACTGCAAATAACGGGGTTACATCCTGTGTGCTAATTGTACAGGAATTCGATTAAAAGACTTTTGTAATGTGAAATTTGTATTATTTTGATTACAGTAGCTTATTTAAACTAATTGGGGCAATCATGTACCGGTATGTTTACAGTATGGAATATCAATATTTACCCCTTTAGCACGACTCTGAGCTTCTCCCTCATAATATGTTAGAATTACAGTAAAAAATAATAGAAGTTTAAACTTCATTTTAATATATTATTATAAAGACACAAAACCCGTAAATTTCACTTTTCAATAGGTTTTGACATTTGCCACCTCTATACAAATGTCATGTCATAAGACTGACGTGTATCTCAGTTGAAAAGTATTTGACATAGAAAATATAGATGAGACAAAATCACAGTGCACTGTGAATGACCGGTGATTTATCATTCGTTTCGTCATTTCACTCACGCGTTGATGCCAATGCCGCGCAACCTCCTTACGAACGACCCCAACAAGGACGGCGGTCCTCCCCCTGGTACCAGTACCGCTCCTCCAACAACCCATTAGGGCCCCGTCGTGCCGCAAACCGTGTGGGGGCGGCGAAGGCAGCAACAACAACAAAAAAGACAGCGCCCCGCAGACCGCAACGCAGTGCGAGGCACCTCCCCCGGACAAGACACCAGAGGGGCACACGTAAGTCTCCACCCCTGTCGCTGGTCGCTCGGAGCTGGGCCTCCCCAGGTACCGCCTGGGGTCTCACCTGACTCGGGCTTGACCGCCGGGGCGGTGTGAAGACCGAAGTAAGCCCTACAATCAAAACCGATACAACAAATTAGCCCACGACCTACCCGTAGTTAGGGGTAGCCACCGCCCGAACCAGGCACCACACGTCCCCTGCGGGACGGTGTGAAGACTAGAAACGCAACCGTTGGGCCGCGGCCCGCCAGGCATGATCACCTCGCCTGGTAAGACGATCCTCCCTTTGTGTTGGAGGGACATGACACCCGTTCCTCCACAGGTACCTTACACGCATACAAACATTCACGGGGATATGCCGACTAATTTAATTCCCACTTACGTAATACTAGGCAACCCTATTGCCAGCAACGATTAACAGTTTATTGCTGTTTGAACACTCGTGTGCAATACCGATAAGCCGCCCCCTTATTCCCCGAACTATCATCCGGTATGGATATGGGAATCCCCACAAGCCTGCGCCTCTATAAAAAAATATTTAAATAAATATAATAATAAAATATAATAAAAATATATATTTTTTTTAGTAATTTAAATGTTATATGCGTTTATTTTCGAAACTGGTCTATAGATGTCATGATAATAATTCTAACACTTCTTCTTGGATGGTTTGCGGAACGGTTTGATGCGCTCGGCTATACACGACACGATGTACTAACTCGATATCTTCAGATTTATTTGTTTGAGATCTAATCTATCCACGATGTTATAGAAATCTAATTTATTTCCATGTATTATAATTTCAGTATATTGTAAGTTTTTGTGATTAATTGTAAAATTTTAATACTTGTAAAATAATTTGAATAACATCACAATCAAAATTATATTCAGATATAATTTAATATTCTATTATAAATATTCTTTATTAGAATTTTAAACAGTAGAACCTTTGTAAGCCGAGCTTCAAGGGACCCCAAATAATTCAAGTTTTAAACTTCGTTTTAGTTTTTTTTGTTCTTGTATCTTTTGGTTTTTTTTAACTTTTAAGTTTTAAACTTCGGAGGTATTTGACTTAGGCGCATTTTGTAAGAAAATATTCGACTTGTAAAGGTTTAGATTCTTTCTTTGACCATTTTCAATTTTTTTCATGGTGCTTGATTCGTTTTTGAATATTATTAACAGAGTACTCATTGATACGCCTATTTTTTAGGGTTGGTATAGGTTTTTCTTCTTTGCAGTACTGTTGTCCTGCGTAGTTTGCTCCCTTAGTCGGCGGATGAATAGGGGAGATGATACTGCGTATTTCGAATCCCTCACAACACGGGTAATCGACAACTTCTACTGTTTATTAATAAAGTAACAAAAAATATAAAACAAAAGGTTCTTGTATCTTTTGGTGACGCAGTCGGCAGATTACCCATGATGAAAAAATTATGTGTAGCAGTCTAAAGAAAAACAACGTACAGCTATGCTTACACGTCTGTCACTGCCGGCGGACAGCGACCGACACACTAGCTAATTGGTTGAGCGTACCCCCGCCCCACGTCCCGCAAACCATCGAATATTGTGTGCGTTACCCCAGCAAAATAATGTTGAAAATGGTCATTTAAACGTTATAGATAATTAGTTGCTCCCCTTCTGTAATTGTTAAGCACATTTTTAAATTTGTTTCACTTAAACTTTTTTAGTTATTTCAAAAAAACATTTCCTGCTGGGGTAACGTTTGAAACGTTACCGCAGCCAGACATTTTCTTTTTTAATTGTAATATTGAAATAAATTTTAGCTAAATAATTAGTTATCTGGACTAGGTAAATGTTACAACTTATTTGGTATTTGTATTTTCTTCGGCTGCGAAGTTATTCGAAATGCTGCTGGAGTAACGTTTGTGGGTTTGCTGGATCTCTGAAACGGGTAAGCGGATTGTAACCATCTTTTGTACATAACTTCTTAAGGATTAGTTTTAATTTGTTCGACAATAAAATAACAAAAATAATGGACCGTTTAAAAATTATTTAGGTAAGTATGAAAACACTTCAATACGTCCTAACACTTTAAATAAGACCTCTAAAGACTTACTTGAAACGTTATTCTATTGCTTGTAACTACCTTCAAATGTATACGAATTTTCGTAAGAATACTGTAAGTGACTAAAAAGTTATGATGAAATGTAGCTCTCCACGTTCACGATCACAATGTGTGCGGCCTTTTTTGGCCACCGATAAACCTGTGTGTGGATATATAAACTGAATGTTATGCCAATAATTAGTTGTTTAGTTCAGTTGTCTACCTGTAGAATTTCAGCGTCGTACATATAATAATTTACGAGATAATTAAATAAAAGTCATTAGAAGGTGCAAGACCGTGGTAACCCGACCATGTTTAGGTGGTTACAAAAAAGCGATCACCCAGTACATTGCGCTGTCTTTTAAAATGTTTAGTGTAATACACCTTACGATTTCGGTAGGTACAGTTGCGTACAGTGTTAAATACATTCAATATTTATTCATTATTATTACCTATTATTTATTTTGTTTTATTCCCTAATTGATCTTAAGCACTTGTTTCTTTACTTAAAATTGATTTAGTCTTTTTACTACCGGAGCTACAATCAACAGAAAATCTGGACTGGTCCGCTAAAATTATAAATATGTAGATACATGTATGAACGATTCACCTGACTGCAATAAAACGAAAATTTAAACCAATAAGAAATCGTTTCATTTCTTTGATTTTTTTTTGTAAAGAAATAACACTAAAGTAATTGTATTTTATTTTGCGGTGTATAGAGCTTAGACTTGAATGCATCAAAATATTTAAAGCAACAAGTCATCTACAATAAGTTAAAATAGACCGAATAGTAGAAGAATACAGTTGTAAATTAGATTGCATCAACATTGCATCGCCCAACAGTCGTATACCTCGTAAGAGTAGGTAATATTGTTCTGTGGTCTATACCTAGAACCGAGAATTATCTATACCTATGTACCTACCGTTACGCGTTGAGCCCGTGACTGTTGATTTCTGTTAAAAACGAACAGTTGTTGAATGATATTTTGATATAATAACGGTAATTTAATTTATCGAGTGAAAGTGATACATTTTTATAGATAAAATTATTGGTCAGATAATATTTGTCAATCAAGAATCGCTGATAATACATCCTTCGCTAGAACGCGGGAGGGGAGGGGCGAAGGGATACTTCATTGTTTGCAATTTGCATCTAGTGCACTAAACTTGAACCTTAGGCAGATAATATACGTGTTGTAAAGTACGTGTGCGCTTCCGCTTCCTATTTTTGCAAATATTTATCGTATTCTTGAGAGTTCTTCAATATGTGTGTACCTAATTACTAATAATAGGCATTAATGCTAATTCGATTCAATTTAAGTAATTGTCAATTCTTGTCTTAAGATATTAATTACTAATGCTAATATTGAAATTTCGTTCAGGGTGAACAAATTAAAAACGATCATAACTTTTAGGTAGGTATATCACTTATTACTAATTTTACATAAATAATTTATTTTATTATAATTTAACTCACCGCGATTTTGTGATCAAATATTTTATTTTCTCCAACATTATTACAGAAATAATGCAATACAGAGTTTGTTCGCGATATGCTAGCCTAAGTCGATTCATCACTTAAAAAAATCCCCATCTATTCACAAAATACCTATTTACAACGCATACGTTACACTCTTCAAAACTTAAATAACCTATACCTACCCTAAAATTAAACTTCAATTAACAAATACTACGCAGGTACCAATTCTATGGCATTCAAAACAATACCTAATCTCCCGGCTGATTACTAATTATGCAATAAACAATCCTAAATAAAAATTATTTAAAAAACATGTAGTTTTTTGTAACACTTATGTACATATCCGTAGTAAACTTGCAAATAATATCCTACATATTTTAAAAGCCAGCACAATGTACTGGGTGATCGCTTTTTTGTAACCACCTAAACATGGTCGGGTTACCACGGTCTTGCACCTTCTAATGACTTTTATTTAATTATCTCGTAAATTAATATATGTACTACGCTGAAATTTTACAGGTAGACAACTGAACTAAACAACTAATTATTGGCATAACATTCAGTTTATATATCCACACACAGGTTTATCGGTGGCCAAAAAAGGCCGCACACATTGTGATCGTGAACGTGGAGCTACATTTCATCATAACTTTTTAGTCACTTACAGTATTCTTACGAAAATTCGTATACATTTGAAGGTAGTTACAAGCAATAGAATAACGTTTCAAGTAAGTCTTTAGAAGTCTTATTTAAAGTGTTAGGACGTATTGAAGTGTTTTCATACTTACCTAAATAATTTTTAAACGGTCCATTATTTTTATTATTTTATTGTCGAACAAATTAAAACTAATCCTTAAGAAGTTATGTACAAAAGATGGTTACAATCCGCTTACCCGTTTCAGAGATCCAGCAAACCCACAAACGTTACTCCAGCAGGATTTCGAATAACTTCGCAACCGAAGAAAATACAAATACCAAATAAGTTGTAACATTTACCTAGTCCAGATAACTAATTAT